CAGCAGGACTTTTAATTTGCTAAATGAAGGCAAAATAATACAAAAATCGCATTGTTAAGCAATGTTTTTGGCAAGTATCCATTTTTTTTTCTATAAAATATAAATCATTTTATTGGTGTCCCCTGATTTCATGTCAGCCCTGTTACCCTCATCAAAAACCCTTGTAAAATCATGTACATTCAAGTGGCATCACTTCTAGGAGGTTACATCATCTCTCAACCAGAATTCCTACACTTAAAACACAAGCATGTTTCTCTCACTCCTCTATAATGTTCTATTTCTGATGATGTATGAGGCTTGACTGAGGGAGGGACATCATGCGGTGTCAATACTGTTACCATTTTTAAAATGTAAATTTAAACAATTATTTATTACATTTAATATAATCGATATCTACAAGTAAAATGCTTTTTTAAAGTGTACAACATGTGCTTTTGTGAACTTGACTATTAGCTAGCAATTAGAAAATTAGTTTGAAACCGTCAAACCTGTTACTGTCAGCCCTGTTACGTTTCAGAGTAACAGGTTTTGACGTGGGCAGTTAGGGTGATTAGGTGCCACCCTTTTTTAAAGATTGTCTGTGTAAAATTCAAACATTTTAAAGGTCACTCTGGGTGTATTATTGAGCTAATTCCTATATCATTCAGTAGCATATGAGCATCAGTTACATTTTTAATTAGTATTGTTACTATTACTATTGTTGTTGTTAATGACCGGGATAAGATGATCAGTCTCAATAAAACCATTTTTGTTTCCATAACTCACTGTCAATAATGCAAATGTAAATTCAATTACAAACAAGAGCAGCAAGGTGACTGCAGACCCTCAAGACTAATTGTAAAAGTGAAACCAAATTTCAAACAAACAGATGGACACATGATGTAATTACAACACCCTTAAAACATTAGATCTCTTAGAAATGTTATGCGAAATCAACAACGAACTGACTTTAACTGAAAAATTGACTGTTTACTAATGTCCTCCTACATTATCAGCACTATTTTCCTGTTTAACATTGTAAAGCTGCTTTGACATTCTGTATTGAATAAAGCGCTAAATAAATGAAGGTGACTTGACTTGACTAATACTAACTATGCCAAATAAGTGCAAAACAAAATAATGCAATTTAAAATGGTAAAACATTACAGTATTATGTAAACAAACATGTGCAGTGTGCTGAAGAATGTGTGTCCTGTCATCCCTGTAACTCTGGTCAGTCTTGTGACTATGACATCAATCCTGTTACTGTCATTAATTTCGTAAAAATTGTAAAAATGATATTTAATTCAGCCTTTCAGGTTTTTCCATCGTAGCTTTAACTATATTTTATTTTTTAAATATCTCTCTTGTAAAAATATAGTTTTTCTTAATTGACGTGGTCACCGTCCAAAATTAGGATGTTCTTGGTCATCTTAATAACAAATATAAAAATATACTTAAAAAAAAATATCAAAAATGTGAAACAATCCCAGTGAAAAGAGAGACTAAAATATGTGAAAATGATCACATAATTCTAATTAAAACTATAGTATATAGTAACGCTAACAGGGTTGACAAAAATACCAAAATATGGTATATAATATAATCGCATACCCTGAGATGGCACAATACAATTTCTTGTAATTTTAAGGAGTCTTCATTTCATGGATTTTTTTTTTTAATGTTTTTATTTATTTATTTATTATTGATTGACAAATTTAAAATAGGAGAAATATTAATAATAAAACTAATAAATATTAAGAACCAATAAAATGACAAAAGCCCACAACAAAATTACTAAAGCTTTAACTAAAATGAAAATGAAAGCAGAAAATCTAACAATAAAAACAAATTCAGTTAGTATCTTCATGATACTGAAATAAAACTGGCATTAATTTGATTAATCAGATCCAATGTTTGTATGGCAAATGCTCTTCACTAACTTAACTCTTCCTTACTTTTGCATTTTATTTATTTATTTTAAGCTGATGTGTGAAGCTCACACATGTCCTATAACAGAGAACACCAAATCTATAGTTTTAGCATCTCAAAATTGCAATGCATGCTGTATGTGTTGGTTTAATATTAAGTTAAATAGTGCATTTATAAAATTTAATAAGATGTACTTTTAAGAGTGGCTCAACTGAATATGATAACAAATATAATTACAATAGAGCCCAAATAAAAACAACAAAAATATCTACTCAAACTGACTACAACTATTCGCAGTAGAAACCACGTATATACAGCTACACAGCTTGTGGAGTCACATGATATCATGGAGAAATCCCAATGAATTAAAGCAGATAGACTAAAGAACATACTTTAGCTTTAACTTTCATGTACTATAATGGTGCTGTATAGCTCTGAAAAGTCTCCACCAAACCCAGCACATAGAAGCACATGTTAGAGATGAAAGATCACACACACACAAACGCGCGCACACTGCTCACGGGACACGGGTTCATGCTCCTCGGGGAATTTATTAAGTGCTTGTATTTTTGTCATTTTTTCCTTCATTTCATTTGTATCACTTGCGCTCCTGTCTGGAATCGTGGTATGGACAGTGAAGCAACAAGAGTCAGTTCATGTTCTCAGGCTAGAAAATCATTTACATCACAATTTTTTTGTTGTTGTTGTAGTTTCACTGACTTGGAGACCACGAACATTCCAGCAACACACTCTAGGGTAGATGAGAAACAATCAGAAAGCTTTTTGCATAGTATTAAATGAACAAAGACAATGAGTTTTTTATTTACAATTATTGTATAGATTATAAAATTCATAAAAACAAGATGGATGAACACTTTTCATTTACCCATAAATTGCTAGTGCGCCAAAAGTACCTGTGGCGTCGTATGCTCTTTGTTCCACAAAACGCATGCTGCTAAGTACAGTACATAGAAGCTGATGTATTGCAAGAAATATTATTCGTGATTATTAGAATGCTGTCATCCTTCTGGTTTATTGGTTAAACATTTTAAACTGCATCCGTTATTAGGCCCGTCAACACAGGGCGCAGAACTAAACTGAATTCAACTGAAGTGGCCAGTCATACCGTAAAAGATCTCTTCTGGAGTCATTGCAGTCCACGCACATTTCAGACAAACTCCCCTGCAGCGCCTTTCAACGTGTCAGAGGTGATTCTTTTGGTCAGTGCACAGAATGATTGTGAATGAGGCTTTGACGTGTTAAAGGGATAGTTCACCCATCAGCCGATCAATTGAAAAGATCAGTTTGTTCATCATTAGCTCTCTCACGAAGGTCGTGATTTTCTGTAGATAATTCCTTTATTTTAATCTGCTTCTGTTGTTTCATATGTCTTTAGAAGAATAGAAGTCATGCGGCTCACTTCTCTGAAGCTTTCATGGTGCTTTTGGAACGGCGTGAGGGTGAGTAAACTATACCTTTAACATGATAAAGGGCAAACGATTTCTGGGGAAAAAAATACAAATCTGTCTGTTTTACGTATATATTTCTCTCGTTGAGTATGCCTGAGCTAACAGTTAAAGCTTGTGCACCTTATCTTGATGAGTAAAACTGTCAAAAAAGTTCAATTTAAGAACGATGGAGAAAAATGAGTTGCATATTAAGTGTATGACATCATGCCTTTCCAATTCCAAAGAACATAAATGAATACATGGGCGACTTCATAAGTGTGCCTTCCGACAGACCCCCGTTTGTCCTTTTGCTTCTAGAGTACAATAAATAGTTAACGACTAGTGAATACTGTTGAGATGCTAGAGTATATTTACTGACTGCAGGAAGACAAGCTTGATTTGAACACAGAAGCACATCTAAATTTACACCACAGAAATTCATTCATATCCGGATAGTGCAGAAAAGGATCATAAATGTATATATAGATATATAGATATTTTTTTTGTTGTTGGTTTGGGTTTTTCTTTTTTTTTTAAGAAAAGAGTCAAAAGCAACAGTCCTTCTTTTAGTTTCGTTACATGATAATTCATAATTCAGTTGTTCAAAGTGTCGTCAGCTCAGCAGCTGGGTTCATTTCCTTTAACCAAAAGAAATATACAAATTAAATGTCAAAAAGAAGAATCAACACAATAAATCACAATATTTGAACACAATTTTGATTTCCATACAGAGATGCCAGATATAACTTAGTTTACATGTTTCCAACATAAAACCCATCGCAGCTTCTGATGGTCACACGGAACTGAAACTATTTTATGTTAAATAGTATGTACTTCTAAAGAAGATATTTAAATCCAACCTGATATATCTGCCGACCACAAGTTCATCGCCGAAACCTTCGAAGCCAGCCAAACCGATTGGATGTTTTCGGGGTGCTCGGAGCCGTCGATCCCGACACTTGTTTTGGTTTCTTTTGTTATCTTCTAAAAATATCTACATTATTTGACGGAATAGCAGGCAAGTCCAGCGCACAATTGGAAATAAAACATCTAAAGTCCGATATTACAGGAGTACCGAACAACGTGAGCTGTTCCAACTATGTCTGCTGCGTGGTTTCGAACCCTACAAAGAAGTTTTAAACCCTACAAAGAAACCAGGATGTATCTACAGGTTTGTAAACAAATTACATTCTCTTTAGGACATAAATAAGTTAAAGTAGTTATTGAAGCAGAACAAGGCAACATGCCAACAAATAAAGATAAAATCTGTAAATATATATTTATAATATGTCAATAAATATATATGTACGCTTAATAAATTCTAATGGGTTTCTCTTTTTCCGACAGGTGCAAATCTACTGTGCAAGTTCGGAGTCCTGCGACCTGGATACACCTTAATCAATAACCAAATAAATCTATACAATTAGATACATGCCACACACAATACTCACAGATCAGTGAATCAGAGAAGCCGTCTTAAAATAGCAGTCCACTGCACATCCCATCAAATCAAATCAAAACCGTTTAAATAAAAATAAAGGTTTCCAAATAAAAACCTGGGTAATGTACATTCATGCAGGAGCAACGATAATAGCTGAATTCGATTTAAATTACTCGTAGTCGTTTCCTCAGGAAGTGGGAGCGGTGCGCTTGCGCTCTTGTATTGTTTCTCGAGACGCTCCGCGATCGTCCGAGTCAGTCGTCGTTCATGCGTTCGATAAAAGAATGTGGCGCGACCACACATACAGTCAACAGTACACGATCCGCGTTCGTGTGCACTCCGGAGCGCTTTTAAACGTAGAGTCTAAGATGATTCTTGAGCGGTCTCCCACGCGAGGTGGCTAAAGTGATGTCTCCAGACTATGAAGCGGGCTCCCGGGACTGGAGGAAGCAGCAGATTTACTCATGTTGGTCGTCAGGTTTATGCCACTGTCGATGGCGTTGTTGTTCTTGTTGGGAGATGAGGGCTGACTGGAGTTCTTCCTGGCTGCCTCGTCATCAATGTCGGTGTCGTCTATGAGAGGAATGTGAGGTGTGGAGTCCTCTATTCTAAACTCTGGATGAGTCATGAAATTGTGGATGGAGGTTCTGGATTCGGGTTTTTCCAAGCCTTCGTAGAGGGAGCTACGAAATGCGTTCACAACACGTATCTGCGTGAGGAAAGAGATCGCTGTCAAAGGCTTGGAAAGTGAGCTCGGAAGACCCCCCAGTGGCACAATGACAACAGGAGGAGGGAAAAAAACATTTGGAAAGCATCCCTAATTCACTTATTCTACCGTGCACAGTTTAAGGATTGCATCGAAAAGAACATAACTCAAACTCATGGTAAAATAAAGAGACTGGAAAGGAAAACATAGGCAATGCTCTTGTGTCCCGTACAGTACACAATACAGTCTACAGTGTATGGTCCAAAGTGTTGTATACCTAGAGACAAGCATTGTTAATTCAACAAAAATGGAACAAAAGAAGTAAGAAACAAAGGAAAACCAAAACGTCATGCAAGTTGAACACATCTCGTGGAAAGTTGGTAAGAGGAGTAGATTAGATATTGAGATCCAAGATGAGTTTCAAGGTAAACGCAAAGTCAAAGTCAAACAAAAGAGAAGTCGTATACAAAGATTTAGATAGAGGATGACAGGGACAGGAGAACCTATGCTTCGAGAGCATAGAGTCACAACACGAAGATGGAAGCGAACCAAAAGCTTGACAAGCCAACTCAACGACTACAAACAACATGCAGCTCGGGACAACACCATGTGGAGATGAACACAGGCACACAGACTGTGGAATAAGAAAAGAGACCAGAACAAACACAAGTCTGTTCTTTCAACAACTCCATGCGTCTCTGTGTAAACACTCAAGTATAGGCCGAAGAGTTTTGTTCAGATTCACGGAACTACACTAAAAAATAGGAGAATCACTTAATGAGTTGTTACTGTGTGGAACTGAGACTTCCTAGAAATATTGTACTGTGCTAGTTGGGAGTAGCAAATATTCTGCTTCAAAGGGTACAATTACGAACAAGCAAGTACAAAAATCTAGGCATAATTCTCACACTAAACTAATGATGCAAACAGTCTATGGTCCTGTTCCACAACCTCGTGAGCTGCCTACCCAGACAGCAAGATGTCAAATTCTTCTGGCGAATTCTAAGGTCCTAAGGCAATCCCAGAATGCACTGCAACAAGCTTGGTGTTCATTTTCATCCAAGATGGTGGTTGAGAATTTTTTGTATGTTATTCAATTCTTCAAAGCATTGATAAAAAGTTAATAGCCAATATCTGTCTTACCTGCTTATTAGAGCAAGGGTATCCAAACCTGTCCCTGGAGCCTTGCTGAGGTTAACTGATTAATCAGGGTTGGAGCTGAACTCTACAGGACGGTCGCCCTCCAGGAAAAGTTTTGGAAAGTGTTGAGTTGTTAGCTTAGCAACACGCTAATGTCAGACTAGCATTGTGATCAATTCTTCTTCAAGTGAGGAATCAGAGTTCACTATAGAACGTTTTATATCTGTCACTTATGAGATTCTGTTTGGCTTGGGATGCTACCTTAAGGCAGGGGTGTCCAGTCCTGCACCTGAAGGGCCACTGTCCTGCAGAGTTTAGCTCCAGTTCCAATTAATCAAGATCTTCAGGATGACCAGAGACTTCCAGGCAAGTGTGCTGGGGACAAGTTGAAGCTAAACTCTCCAGGACATTGGATTGGACAGCAATGCCTTAAGGGGTAGACGGAAAAAAAATCATAAGTTTCTAAGGGCCAGTTTTACTAAACGGGGCAAATTAGCGCAAGAGCGCAATTCCAAAACAGCGCCAATGGGCATGGAAATTTCTGCTGGGGATTTACTAACAACACGCAAATTAAAGAACAAAAACGCAACATCTCATTTACATAATTGAATGACGCAATATACCAAGTGCAGCGCAAATTAGCATAGTCGCAAATAAAGAATAAAGAAATAAATAAGCCACAGTAAGTTGAAAAGAACCGGAGGCCAAAAAATATAGGGTTGCAATAAGTTTTGATAGAGCTGGTATTGAGTGACTCCTAGTTGAGGGATCCAAGTCGTCTTTGATTTTCTAAAGCAAATTAAAAATAACATGGCTTGTCAAACGATATGTTCGGATAATGTGTTCTTCTGGCATTCCAAATAAATTAATATGTGTGGAAAAAAATCCTCTCCCTTCTACCCTTCTCTCTGTGCCTCCTCCTAGCAACAATAATTGCAGCTATTTTTAAGCGCAAAACAGTTTAAGACATGCTTTTTTTTGGGCATTAAATAATGGCGCAAATGGCAGTAATCTGACGAGCACAAACATTAGTAAATCTCGTTGCATGATTCATTTGAATACTCTCCTCCCATAAATTTTGCGTCTGAAAGGGAAACTCCTACAAATGCATATTCAATAAGGTCAGGTGCAAAAATAACTGTGTCCACACCTTTTCAGCGCTAATTCTTCACTGCCCATCTTTAGTAAAACCTGACAGTACTATTTTAACGTCAAAAGATGGTTTGCGCTGGTGCAAGCTTATAGTAAAACTGGCCCTAAGTGTCTATACTGTTGGTTACTAGCAGACGCTCCTACTCAAACTGTACCCGCATCTATGAACTGCCCCAACTGAAAATGAGTAACCTGCAGCCTTTGCCACTGTCCGTGTAAACCACTCTCTTGGAGGGAGATGCCAGAGCGAAGGTTAGGAGCTCGATAGGGTTTGGAACTGAGCCTCTATCATACCACTAACTGCTGACCTGCTGAACATAAAATTATCGAAATCAGCGAACTACCTCTAACGACCATCAAACTCGATTATTACCTTCTGTCCAGGTAGCAAATAGCATGCTTTCAACCTAGCTAAAAGCAAACTTGCAAAGCCAACACAAACGGGTCTGAATGACAGATGAAAACAAATGTCAGAAGTAATCACATAGATGAAGACTGGCCTAACGTTTAGTGAGATTCTGCAGCTGTCAGCATCACACAGCAGACTACATGACCAACAGAGTAAAGCCACGAGACATAATGGGTCGCTGTGGGCCTTGGATCTACATCACACAGACGACAAATAAGACAAGACTATGGGGAGGAAGAGCCACTCTCTTCACACGTCTCCGTAGCTGTGTGGAGAGAAGAAAAGTAAAAAAAAGGGAACAAAACAGCCTCCCGTGATCAACAGAGTAACTTCAACAATGCAGCCTAGAGCATTTTGGAGAACATGTCAGGCTACAGCTGAGTGGGGAATGGTACAGTTGGCTATACTTGAATGTTTACCCAGCCTGGTGAGTTTGTTGATGGAATATTAGTTCACATCAATTTTGCGACGGACAATGGAGGGACTCACAACCTGAAATTCACTTCGTAGGCTGCACCCTTAGTCCAGGGCTCTTAGCTCTCTGGGGAAAACAAACACATGGTACATTGAAACGCATGTTCTTCTGAGAAGTGGGTTAAAGATGATCTGATAAACAGTGTCATGAAGAGTAAGAGGAAATCAGAAGCAAAGCAGATTTTCAGGGATGCCCTTTGACAATACTTTACACTAATTGTCTATGTCTAAAGAATAAGAAATAGTTTGAGAGCTCCAGTGTAATGCCAAATCTCCGTTGGATCCAATAGGTAATGCCTGATTAGAAATGTCTGTCAGATCTTCCCACTGTAGCTGTCGGAGCCATAACCCTGTGGCCAGTGCTCTGACATATGCACACACTGTCCTATTGAAAGTTAAAAAACACCCAAAAAATATAACTTAAAAAAAAGCAATCCATTGGCGAAGTACCTGCAATTTGTAATCTGTGTGAGTAGTGCACAATTTGAAATCTGACATTTCTTATGGAACCACAGAACGTTTTTGAGTCAGTCATCTGAGCCGTAAATGCCATGTGACTAATATAGAGTGTAGGACTACAAAAATATTAACTTAAATTAAAAAAAATAAAAACATATTATACTATACAAATTTTATAGTATTATCACCCTTGGTTGAAATGGAGGTTTTTGGGGCCAGTTATCATCCCTTATCTGAACCCTGAGCACAAATCCTTGTGAAAATCCACAAAAAAAACTTTGTTTCTATTCTATGTTTTCTTTTTATTTATTATATAATTAAAAAAACAAAAACCTTGTTATGTGTACTGCGTTAAGCTAACTGATACTTGTTATAGCACTTGCATATCATTGCTCTTTTGTTGATTTTGTTTGCTTCCATTGTCCTCATTTGTAAGTCGCTTTGGATAAAAGTGTCTGCTAAATGACTAAATGTAAATTTAAATCCGGCCAGAGTGTGCAGTGATTCTTTAAAACTCACAATTAACATAATGAAATGGCACACTAAATGGTGCTAAATCTCTTCATACTTCATAATTGTCCAAGGACCTGTAAACTCAGAATTACTGTAATTAAAAGGTCCCAACAAATCATGTCTTTATCAAAAGCTGGTACATTTGAAACTGGGAATTCTATGGCGTTTTATTACAAGTCATAATGTGGTGTGTGCCTTGTTTTTCATTTACTTTGTAAGAGTGTATCGTGGTGAATTCATGTGATTAAAGGGGACATCGGATGCCCCCCTTACGAAAATTAGCCATGGTTTTATTGTAGTAAAAGTGTAGTAACCATGTTTTTTTGGCATATTGATTACCATTTGTATAACCACAGTTTTACTACAAATACCATGGTTAAACTATAGTTAGTGTAGCAAAACCATGGTTAATCTGTAGTTACCATGGTTTAACAGTAGTAACCATGGTTTTTTGGTTGTATTTTTAGTAAAATCATGGATCATTTTCGTAAGGGACATTTTCCACAAGTTGGATAATGATCCTTTAGGATATTCATGAAATGTCTGCTAAATACATTAGTTAAAATTCCTTAATGATTGTGTAAAACAATAACCTTTTTACCTTGTCATAAATATTTCTGTATACGGCGACATGTTTCGGTGCATGTCTCTTTAAATGTTAATGAGCTATTCCTCACCCGTTTTTTGTGTATTCAGTGGCACATTACCATCAAAAACAAAATTAACCGTGTCCTCAGTGGCTCATATGTCAGGAGAAAATAAAGACTCTTATGTTCACTTTTACATGCAACTACAAAACACCTGCATTGCCTATGAGACATGGCTGAGGGCGGAAATATGCTAATACAGGACAGTC